AAATTCTACTGATCAAAATTCATATATAAGTACATCGGATATACTCGGGTAAACCAGATCGAATGACTTGTACAAATACTTCGGGCATACCCAAACAAACAAAAGAAACAATGTACAAATGATAAGATCAATGATCCAATGCTAAGGATTTAAAATGAATCAAGTCATGCGGATACAAAGAAAACATAACGTTGTATACGCGTGTCTTAATTAGTCTCATAATGCTATCCAAGTGTGGTATAAGGTTTTCAAAAATCTTTCTATTCTTCACCGTCCAAATGTGGTAAACGGTGCTTACAAGTGCAATCCTCTTAGCTTTGCTTTGCCAAGATGTCCCATGAGCCTCCTTTTTTGTCCACTTCAACATGCTAGATAATGTAGACATAGATCTTCTAATACCAAGCCATTGTCGGATCCTCCCCCATAAGATCGATGTGAACGAACATTCAAAAAACAAGTGTTGACCTATTTTCTCCATTTGTCCACAAAGAACATAATTCCGGTCAATATCCAAGGATTGCAATTTGTTTTTGGTGAGGAGTTTAAATTGACCACTTAACCAAAGCAAAAATGAGTGTTTTTGTGTAATGCACGGTTTCCAAACGTCAACTCCCCAGATCTTAAAAGTTTTTTTTTGGCCGAAAGTAATGATATGCCTTAGTTGTGCAAAAATTATCCCCCTCAGTCCAAGCCGTAGCTGCCTGAACGATAGCATCGATTCGTCCCCTTGCGTCTGCCTGAACGGACGCAAAGGCTGTCCCTATGCGTTTGCGTGAACAACCATATCGGGCTGCTCCCGTGCGTCCCTGATTTTCAGCAAATTTTTAAGGAGTGGCAAATAATCTTTCCTTGACGAAACTTCCCAAATGCTAGCCCCTTTCAGAAAAATATGATTTACCCAATGTATCCAAAGGGTGTCCTTTTGTGAATATTCCAAAGAAATTTTGCAAGTAAAGCTGAATTTCAACTTTTAATGTCTCTAAAACCAAGGCCACCTTCATTTTTCGGTAGGCAAATATCCCTCCAAGCTATCAAAGATTTCTTAGATCCCTGAAGAAAATTACGCTGTAGACTAATGATTCTCGATGTGATAGTTGTCGAGACAGGGAAAATAGAAAGTCAAAAACATTTGACTCCTTTGAGCACCGTCCTTATTAATTCCGCTCTACCTACGTGAGACAAAGAGGAGTAGGTCCAAGCACCAATATAAGATACTTTTTTGTCTAACAAATGGGCATAACAACTAACTTTCAGCTTCTCGGATGCTAATGAGATACTCAAATACCGGAATGTCATAGTACCTTTCGGAAGGTTAGTTATTTCTTGGATTTCAACAAGTTCTTGCCCATGAATATCAGCTGTAAACAAGCTGGGTTTTAAGTTATTCATCCTAAACTCAATGTATTACAGAATTTGGATAGGCAATCCATTAAGTTTTGCACAAACACAACATCTTCCCTTGCAAAGAGCATCAAATCATTCGTAAATGCTGAGTAATCTTTAAGGGGCCACATTTTGGATGAAAATTGAATTCACTATCGTTAGTGGCTATCTTAATCATTCTTGAAAAATATTCAAGACATAAAACAAACAAGAAGGGCGAAAGAGGATCACCTTGTTCTTGCGAACACTGAGTTTTCATATTCTCATATGTATTTTTGTTTTCAATAGTCTTGCTATTGTCAACATCAATTTTCGGGTTTGGAATACCCTTCTGTTCTTTCGAACACTGAGCTTGACTATGCTATTTTGTATTATTTCTAGTAGTATCACTACTTTCAATATTGAATGTCTTCCTCAGGACTGTATGTTCCCACTTAAAGCAATGGAGTACGTTGGTCAACGAATCTTATAGTAAAGCACAACCTCTCAAGTACCACTTTAAGAAATTCCCAACCAATCGAGTCATAAGCCTTCCGTATATCGATCTTAAGAAGACATCAATATTGAGTGTCTTCCTCAGGACTGTATGTTCCTACTTAAAGCAATGGAGTACGTTGGTCAACGAATCTTGTAGTAAAGCACAACCTCTCAAGTACCTCTTTAAGAAATTCCCAACTAATCAAGTCATAAGCCTTCTTTAGATTGATCTTAAGAAGACATCAAGGAATGACAATCTTTCTATTATATCGTATCAGTAGTTTTTAGATTAGATGAATGTTTTCTATCATACTCATTCCCTCAACAAA